TTAGTGATAAGTGGTATTTAGAAACCATTTGTGTGGCTTGGTCCTAGGGGTGCTCATTGTTACTGGGGTGCCAGGGCTTCCAGACCTTCAGGCCCTCTCAGTGGACCCAATTAAGATAAAATAATAATAATGATAATGTCATTCTACTACCAACTCAAATCCATCATCCTGGGGTTCTTCCTTACTTTCTATCATACCATATTTGTTATTTCCCTTCTCCCACAGTGAGAACCCTGGTACCAAACAACATGAATATATTTACTCCTTTGCTTTTTCCTATAACACATGTATAATAGATTCAAGATTACTAAACCAATACCACTTTAAACATCAAACCTACTAAACCAAGTTATTGATGTCTTTACATTTCTTTTGCTCTTACATTGGATCCCACAACTCCTAACTCCAGTATATAGAGTACTACACTCAAGTTAATTGAAGAAGTTCTTTTTCTCTGTGTGGCTATGCTGACAATTTGATATACAGGTAAGTTCATCTCTTTCTTTGTGTTAAATTTTAGGGCTTGCTTTTATTTCCATTGTTTTAGATTTAATTTTTTGAAAAGGCAAAACTCTTTTTTTAAAATTTATTTTATTTATTTTTGACTGCATTGGGTCTTCGTTGTTGCACGTGGGCTTTCTCTAGTTGTGGTGAGCAGGTGCTACTCTTCGTTGCAGTGCTTGGGCTTCTCACTGCAGTGGCTTCTCTTGTTTTGGAGCACAGGGTCTAGGCACACGGGCTTCAGTAGTTGTGGCACATGGGCTCAGTAGTTGTGGCTTGTGAGCTCTAGAGAGCAGGCTCAGTAGTTGTGGTGCATGAGCTTAGCTGCTTTGCGGCATGTGGGATCTTCCCGGACCAGGGATCGAACCCATGTCCCCTGCATTGGCAGGTGGATTCTTAACCACCACGCCACCAGGGAAGTCCTCTTTTTTTAAAAAAGAAGTTTATTCAGAGAGCCACACTCCTATCACTAATCCTTGCAAAATATTCCCATCTCCTATAGATAACCATTTTCAACTAATTTTCTGTTTTATAGTTTTTGTATTTCTATCTTCAAAAATAGGCCAAAAATGGGTGTGTGGTATACATACATATAAGTATGTAGACTCTCATTTCTCCTTCTTGCTTACACAAAAGTTAGCATACTTTGTATATTCTTTTGCACTTTTTCTTCACTGAACCATATAAATATTATTTTATTCTAAAAATGCATTGAAGGGCTTTAAGCTAGGGACTGACATGATCATTTCCATTTTAAGATTGGTTTCGTTGCCCTATAAAGAATGGAGAACAGGACCTGAAGCAGGTAGACAGATGGGAGGCTGCAGTGGTCGGAGCAATGAAAAGGGAAAGGAGTATTTATTTCACTTATAACACAAACGTACAACAGATACACTTATGAGCTGGATGAGAGTGGTGGGGAAAAAGGAGGACTCAAAAATGATTCTTTCTCATGAGTAACTGGGTAGATACATGCTGGTGGTGTTTACAGAGACAGAGATTTGGGAGGAGAGGCTTTAAGTTTTGGAATGAAAAATCAAGGTCCCATACTGAATATGTTAAGTTATACATCCAAGTGGAGATGATAAGTGGATAATGAGATATTTGCTTTTGGTTGAAGTTCAGAGGAGAGGTCTGGGGAGGATAAGGAATTTAGGAGTTATCAGTATAAAGATATTTAAATCCATGGGAGTTGATGAGTTTGCCAAGAGGAATACTGTAGAGGAGAGAAAAAGGTGGGGGAGAGGGGAAGCTCAAAACCAAGCTCTGAGGATTCCCATAATTTAGAGTTTAGGCAGAAGAGACAGAAAAGAAGACTAAGCTGGGCAGCTGGTAAGGTTAAGAGTAAACAAGGAGAGAATGACCTTTTGCTGACCCAGAGGCCAAGTGAAGTTTCAAGGCTGAAACATTTAACTGTGTGGATGAAACAAACTGTGTGGAATGCTTCTGGGAGCTAGAATAAAATAAGACAGAGAATCCATTGGATTTTGTATAGTATTTATCCTGCCCCTGTGCCTGGTATTACAGTCCTTATGCCTGGAGTGCTTACTCGTCTCTTTTTTTTTTTTTTTTGCGGTACGCGGGCCTCTCACTGCTGTGGCCTCTACCGCTGCGGAGCACAGGCTCCGGACGCGCAGGCTCAGCGGCCATGGCTCACGGGACCAGCCGCTCCGCGGCATGTGGGATCCTCCCGGACCGGGGAATGAACCCGCGTCTCCAGCATCGGCAGGCGGACTCTCAACCACTGCGCCACCAGGGAAGCCCTCCTCTCTTTTTTAAACCTAGTTAACGCCGAATGACCCTTGGAGATCCAGATCAAACATTATTTGCTCAGGTTCCCCTGTGACATAGTCTTTCAGCTCTAAACATTTCTTTCAAACCACTCAGTACAGTTGTAATTTCTCAATAATTTGTCTTTGCAATTTTTTCTCAATTATTAGAATATAAGCTCCTGGAGGGTTAGGGTCTGTTTTGCTAGCTCTCCTCCACTGTTTCAACTGACTCCTAGCCTAGTGTTTGGCACATAGAAGGTTTTCAATAAATATCTATTGAACATAAATAAATGTAGCACCTGGAGCTGGAAATCAGTAACAGCTAGTAAATCAATAAAGGCATTATGAGGTACGGCAGGAAGGGCAGATTTAGGGATAGAAGTGCCTGAGGGAGAAATGGAGACTTTGACACAGCGGCCCCTAAAGACTTAAGTTCCAGCCGGAACAGTAAAGCACAGTTTTATTCTATCTTCCCTCCTTTCTTCCCTTTCACACCTACTTTCTCTGTTCATTTTTACTCCTGGTCCTGCATCCTCTTCTCTACTCCAAACTAGCTCACCACAAATATGATTTTTTTGTGGATAAAGAAGGCAAACTGAATAAGCAGGCAGTGGGAAGTTAGAGAAGGAAGGGGGAGGTTATGGGAAATATAAATATAGAATAAGAAAAGGAAGACAGTAAGCTCATCAAACCAGGTACTATTCTACAAATGCTACTAACCAAGTAAAAGAGTCAAAAATAAGATCACATGTGAGAGGGTGGGTCTTGAAGTCATTCAGCTGAGTTTAAAATCCCAGTTCCACCATTAATAGCTGTATGCCTTTGAGCAAATTACTTAATCATATGAACTCAGTTTCCTCGAAACCTATAAAAGGGGCATAATAACAGTACCTACCTCACAGGGTTGTTCTCAGGATCAGTACGACAATCAGTTTTAAAAGTTTAGCACCATGACTGGCCAAGGTAAATGCTCAATTAACGTTAGCAGTTACTTTTCTTTAAAATGAAGTACAGCAGGGAGAGATGGCCTAAGTAGTAAATACTTGTCATATGACTGTAATAACACCGCATCAAAAGAAGAGGATCACTTTAAAAGAAGCAGATAAGATGTACTGGCACTTACATTTCGGGCACAGCAAAGACCTTGCCTATGCATGGAAGATAGAATGTCACAGTACAGCGCCTCACGCCGGTAGTTGCATTATATTTTCAGAATGGCAAAAACAAAAAGAGAAAGAATGCTTTTGAAAATCTTTTCTGGGAAAAATGTATCTCGTCCACGAGGGCCGCTGTGGACGACAGGTAGGATCATGCAGCGAAGGAAGTGACCCTCGGAGTGCGGGCAGCGCTCATTCTAAGTGACTCTCCCGATGCGGAGCCTATTCCGGCCCGCAAGGACAAGGCCTGCCATTCGTTGGCTGGTCCCTAGTGTAGTCGCGGGGCTAAGTGTGGCAGCTACCTCACCTCGGGGCCTCCGCCACGTCTTTATTGTCTCCAGGATGGAATCCGAGATCCGCGCCGCCGCCAACAGAGGGTGGTACCCACCGCAGCCCCGACACAGCGCCCTACCTAGCCCGGCAAGCAGAGCCCCAGGGAAACTCCGCCCACTGGCCGCTCACCAGGCCGCTTCCGCCCATTGGTCGCCCGGCATTCCGAGCCCCGCCCCCAAATTTGAAAGCTTGTCCCGGGAGCGGGTGGGAGGGAAGCCCACAGCTCTAGCCGGCTGCGCTCCGGGGCGTCGTTCCGGAAGCTCCGCCCACTCCCAGCGTTCCGTTTGAATTTGAAAACGAAAATAACTCGGCGCTGCTCCCAGGTTGGGCCGGCGGGGCAACGTTTGCAGGTGAGGGTACGCGGAAGGAGGTGGGGGACTGCTCACATACCAGGTGAGGTGAGGAAAGGTCTCAGGCAGTGTGAGCACCTTCCGACGGGGCTCGGGACATCCCTGAGGTTACTCTCAGGAGCTGGGTTGCGAAGCAATGAAGACGCCTGGGCCACCGGGTGCGCTTCTGTGGGGGGTTGAGCCGTTGTACTCGTGTTAAGGTTTAAATCTGGTCTCCGCCGCTTATTGGCTGTGTGACGCAAGGCAACGTCTTTAATCTTTCTGGGCCAGTTTCCTCATCTGTAAGAGGGGGTAATAATAGAACCTACCTCTTCGGGCTCTTATGAAGATAAAATGATAATACGTAAACCTGTTAGAAAGTGCCGGTGTATAGTAGGCACTAAGTATTTGCAATCATTAATATTTTTATTATTGTTGCTGCTGTTAGTGTTGAGGATCAGGCGTCCATTGCCAAATCTGGTGTCCTGAATCCCTAAGGTGAGCAGTTTGCTCGGCAAGTGACGTGCTGTTATTTGGGAGGGATGGGGGCCCTGTGGTGGCCGTCTGTGCAGTTATTTACAGGCTGCTGCCGGTGCCCAGGGCTCGCCCTTCTTGGGCTTTGCAGTGCTAAGCGGAAGGGGGTGTGTGTGACGAGTGCACTGACTGCTGTCATCAACCAGTTTGGGAGGTTTCCCCCATCTCGTTCTACTTTTTGGCTCAGTGATTCCTGCCTGGTGCAGCTCTTTAATATTCCTTACTGAAGGACTAATTGACAAAAGGTCATGCCTTATAGGTTAGCTTGTTTTTAATCCCCAAGGTGATCAAACTCAGGTTTGTTTTTGTTCTTAAAACAAGGTAGCATGTTCACCCCGAAGCAGCATAACAGTGTGTACTTTTTATTAGATATCCAAGACCTGAGACTTCAGCTTGCAAAATAATATAAAGGACTCATCAGTTGTGAAGACTTTTTCTGAGACTATATTTTGTGGATGACATTCAGAAACGTCATTCAGTAGCAGATTTTATTTTTCATCAGTCTTCAACCATGAAATCTCACTGGAGAGGAGATAAAAGATGCTGTTTCTCAGTCGTGAGAACAGCCTTCCTAAATGAGAAATGAGGTCTTGAACCTTGCTGTTGCTAAAGATAATATCAGAAAAGAGTAAGACCAATTTTTTTTTTTTTTTTTGCAGAGAGGATTTTATTTATTATTATTAAGCCACTATACAGGGAGTTTTTATCACTACATAAATCTCTGAATTTGTTGTAGGGGATACAGAGTAGTATAAGACAAGGTCCTTGCCCTCAAGAAGTTTCTAGTCTAGTTAGGGAGGCCACACATAAGTAGAAGTTAACTAAAAGTACAGGAAGTGATAGTACATCTCATTAATTTTATAATTGTTAAGAGGAAGTTTATTCATTGAAAACTGAACATATGAGCACGTACAAACTACTGTAACCTTACTTTTTTAAGGAGGTACAATATTCTTTTTAACTTAGTAATTTCATAAAAGATTTATCAATATGTTTTTTTCTTAACCAAAAATTAATTGAAAGCAAAGATTGAAGCTTACCTTCCAGTTTCCTGGGCATTTCTATGAAATTTGAGTTATGAAATGTCAAGCCAGTACTTTCATATTTTTGCACACTTTCCTCCCATATTCTAGATCAGTGTTTATTTTTTATTCTATCAGATACTTTTTTTCTTAATTTTCACCCATAAATTGCATGTTTGAAATACTCTATCAAACTGCATTTAAGTAATTTTCTCATTTTGATTACATCACTGATTATACAATAAAAAAAGCAATAAAGATATTAAACTTACTTAATTGTATGATTGGTGATCTTGTAGTTTGCTGGGTTTTGTTGAAGGTAAATGTGTAATTTCTTTAACTCTTTTTGCAATTTAGGAAAAACAAAACCAAAAACAGCCCTGTTGTATTGAATTTGGGGGTTTCAGGACTGATCAAGGAAAAAGATACACCGCAAGGTGGCAGTAACGTATGAGGAGCTTTACTGGGGTAGCACTTTGACAGGCACTTTGCGTGCTTGGCAAGTTGCCCACAGCATGAGACTTTCCAGAGACTAGAGTGAAGGGCCAGTCACCTAGAAGGGGAAGAGGGGAATTGGGGAGGGGTGGGGGTAATAGGAGAGGGAGCTCTCTGTAAGTGATATATTGCTCAGCAGCACAGTAGGGAGTCACTATGTCAGAGACCTCCAAAGGGTAGCAGTGGCTTGGGGTCTTATAGTCCTGGCTTTTATCTGTGGCTAGCAGATGGTTGGGTGCAGTTTCATGGGATGTAGGAACCAGTTGGGCTCTAAATGGCTAAAAATGAGCTTATTTTGGCTATATGTAAAGCAAACAGATGTGTAAAAATTTGAGTTTGACACCTCAGTGGGTTTTTTTTTTTTTTTTTTTTTTGCAGTACGTGGGCCTCTCACTGTTGTGGCCTCTCTCTTCCCGGACCGGGGCACGAACCCGTGTCCCCTGCATCGGCAGGTGGACTTTCAACCACTGCGCCACCAGGAAAGCCCCTCAGTGGGTTTTTGAACGAATGATCTTGGCCTGCTGTGAAGAAGTAAACAATGCAGGGCCAGTATACAGGGGCCATCTTTGGCTCATTTATTTAACCCCCATGGTTGCCCATTACTAACTACCTTCTTGAACCAGGAACTCTAGTGGGCAGTCACTGTTCTGAATATTTCATAATATTCAAAGAATAGAGTGCTCTCTCCATTTCTCCCTGGTATTGTTCGCCTAGTAGATTTTCAGTAAATATTTTAATGTTAATATTTTATCAGTGAAGATTACCCCTAAGTTTACCTTTAAATTTAGTGACTTGATGTTTAATTTAGTTGTAATAGTTTACTGATGCGTTATTCCATGTTCGCCTTAATTTTTAAGACCTGTGATGTATCAGGTACTGTTTTGAATATGTTCACATACGTTATTTCACTTTTTACTTGCATTATTTGGAAGAATTCAGTTGAAAGTAATTGTCCAGATTACCGACTCCTAATTGCTAAAACATTACAAAGTCTGTAAGTAACATTCTTCAGAAGACACTAAATAACTAAAATAACACAAGGTTATAATTTACTCCGCCCTTACTGTTTGATTTCTGAGAGGATTTCAGGCAGAGTCTGAGTGTTTTATACTCTCTTATTTTATGGGTTACCTTTACTCATGAAATCTCTTTGGCTGAATCTCCCCATAGGTTGCAGCACATGAATAGTAGTGGTAGGCTGTATCCAGTATTATTTGATTTAAAATCTGTAAATAATTGTCTTTTTTCCTTTCCATGGGTCATCATGTTATAGATGAAATAGTCTAAAGTTTTCCTTTTGGAAATGTAGTTACATGGCAAGAAGTAGTGGGCTGGACTCACAGACTTTATAAACTATGGATATATGATTTATTAAGGTTATCTAAGGAAGTTACTGTTATTCTTGCAGAATGGAATCTAATGTAAATCAAGATGGGGTGCCTAGACCATCTTATGTTTTCAGTGCTGACCCAGTTGCGAGGCCTTCGGAAATAAATTTTGATGGCATTAAGCTTGACCTCTCTCGTGAATTTTCCTTAGTTGCTTCAAACACTGAGGTAAGTACAAGAAAAGTATTATGTTGATTATCATGATTGAGAGCAAATGGGCGCACACACACACACACACACACACACACACACACACACACACTTGTGGACAGGTACAACTAGAGCAGAGCTTTCCAAACTTTGTAGGTTTAAGGCAAACTTCTATCTCAGCAATTTTTTCATGGTGCCCTAAATACATAACAGTTCCTTTTCACGTAGTAGGTGCAGACATCTTAATGACTATTTATGCCCTGACTTAGTAGCCATTTGAGAAAAAAATAACTTATGAAATTTTTAAATATTAGTTTTCAATGACCACGGTTACTTACTCATGGGCACTGTGTGCATTTGGGGTGCTGCACAACTTCTCAAGCTTTGGAATCAAATTAGACACTGCCACCTGCATTTCCTGTTCTTCATTGTTTTGGGGTCGTACTTGCTTTCTATCACAACCACCACTGGAAAATCCAGCTTCACTAAGATATGACATCATCAAAAGAAATAGTGTGATCTAAGGTTGAAACTGAACTTCTTCAAGCTAATAGTTCGTGGTGTTCAACATGTGTCAAGTACTGCTGTGGTTCCCTCAGAAATGTAAAACATTCCACTATGCCCCTAGGAACTGCAGGCCTTAGTTTAAAAAATAATGCAGATTAAAAAAAGATTAACTTAGTAGTGTTTAAGAAATAAGTCTTTCTACTACCCTACCTACTGTCACTATGTTTGCTGTGTTTATAGACTTTTTCTTATACATTTACTTTCAATCCATTTATATTCTATTTATTACAGATTAGATTATTAATTTCGATGCCTTAGAGAGATGGACTAACCCATTTTATAAAGAAAGATGGAGGGGGAAAGAGGAGTATAGGGAACATATATAAAAGGATAATAATTATTTAATACCCATCATGTGCTAGGCTCTTCTACTTTAGCTCATTTAACCATAGATAAAGAAGAGAGGAAGGGATAAATGCCTCTTGGTGTATAAATGGAATTATACATTACTAGACTTTTGTGTGTGCCTTCCTTCACATAATACAAGGGTTGGTAAATAATGGCCTGGTTTTGTATTTCCTGTTTTTGTATTGCTTACAAGCTAAGAATGGTTTTTATATTTTTAAATGGTTGAAGAAAAAGAATCAAAAGAAAAATCATGTTTCATGACGTAAAAATCAAATATCACAAGTCATATTCATTGGTTTACTTATTTTCTAGGTCTGCTTTCGCAACAGAGTGGCAGAGTTGAGTAGTTGTGACGGTCTGTAGAGCCTGTAGAGCCTAAAAATATTAAGTGTTTTTTCTTTACACACAAAAAATTTGCTGATCCCTACTTAGCATGTTGTTTTTGAGATCCATCACGCATCATGTGTCAGTAATTTGTTACTTTTTATTGCTGAATAGTAGTTCATTGTGCAGATATGCCCCATATCCATTTACAGTTTGATGGACATATGAGTGATTTCCATTTTGGGGCCATTATAAATAATGCTTCTCTGAATGTTTATGTGCAAGCCTCTCTGTGAACTTATGTTTTGTTTTCATTTCTCTTGGGTCGATACTTAGGAGTAATTGTGGGTCACATGGTAAGTGCATATTTAACTTCATAAGAAAACTGAAACTATTTTCCAAAGCGACTGTACCAGCACCAGCAATGTATGCAGGTTCCAGTTCTTCCACCTCTTTGCCAACACTTGGTAATTTTATGAGTGTGTAGTAGTACCTTGTTGTGGTTCTAGTCTGCATTTCCCGAAATGAGCACTTTTTCAAGTATTTCTTGGCTATTCCTATACCTTCTCTTGTAAAATGTCTTTTCAAATAATTTCCCTACTTAAAAAAATTAGGTTGTTTGTCTTATTACTGATTTGTGAGAGTTCTTCATGCATTGTAGATACATATCCTTTATCAGATCAATAGTGTCTTGATTAATAGAGGTTTTTAATTTTAAAGAAGTCTAATTTAACTTTTTTTTCTTTTACGGTGATTTCTTTTGTAAGTCCTAAGAAATCTTTGCCCAAGGTGGTGAAGGTTTTTTAAAACATTTTCTTCTAGAAATGGTTAGAGCTTTTGTTTTAATGGTTATATTTGTTATCCATCTTGAATTAGTTTTTATGTATAGTTGATGTAGGGATACAGGTTGATTGGTCTGTTGATTTTTTTTTTTTAACCTCCATTTATCTAGTTACTTTAACATTATGTGTTGAAAAGACTTTCTTTTCCCCATTAAATTGTTTTGGTGTCTTTATTGATAATCAAATGGCTGGGTATCTATGTGTGGATCTATTTCTGGATTATTCTCTTTCATGGACCTATTTGCTTATCCTTATGCCTATACTTCACTGTCTATTTCTGTAGGTTTATAATAATACGTGAAATCAGATAGTATGAATTCTCTAAATTTGCTTCTCTTTTTTAGGAATATTTTGCCTTTTCTAGGTTCTTTGTAAATATATTCATAAATTTTAGAATTGACTTACCAGTTTCAACAAAACAGCCTACTGGGATTTTTGACTGGGATTGCATTGAATCTAGAATCAATTTGGAGAGAATTGCTATTTTAATAATATTGGAGAGCTTTAATTCATGATTGTGGTATATTTCTCAATTTATTTAGGTCTCTAAGGTTTTAGCAATGTTTTATACTTCTTTTGTTGAAGGCCCGTGTAGGGGCCTTCAATATCTTTTGTTAAATATATTCTTAAGCATTTCATGGCATTTGATGCTATTGTAAATTATATTTTTAACAGCTTTATTGAAGTAAAATTAAGATACAATAAGCTGTACATATTTGAAGTATAGTCTTTGACAAGTTTTGACATAATGCATATGCTTGTGAGAATGTCACTACAGTCAAGAATAGTGAATATTTCCATTACTCCTGAAAGTTTCTTTGTGCCTCCTTGTAATCCGTCCCTCCCATCACACCTCCAAGTAACGGCTGATCAAACATTAGTTTGTACTTCTAGAGCTTTATATAAATGTAGTCATAAAGTATGTACTCTTTTCTTACTAAGCATAATTATTTTGAGTTTTATGCATGTTGTGTGTATCAATAGGTAATTCCTTTTTATTGTCCATTGTTTAGATATGCCACAATTCATTTATCCGTTTATCCGTTCACTTGCTGAGGGACATTTGTGTTTATAGTTTCTGGCTATTACAAAGCTTCTAGGAACTTTTGTGTACAAATCTTTATATGGACATGTATTTCCTTTATTTTTTTCCCCTTGGATAAATACCTAGGATTGGAATGGCTGGATCATTTTTAAGAAACTACCAAACTTTTCCCAAGTGATAATAGCATTTTATATTCTCAGCAGCAGTGTAGGAGAGTTGAGTTTCTCCACATCTTCACCAACACTTGGTGTCGTCAATCTATTTATTTACTTATTTGTTTTTAAACAGACTATTTTTTAGAACAGTTTTATGTTTACAGCAAAAATGAGCAGAAGGTACAGTGATTTTCCACATACCCTCTACCCCCATATAGCTTCCCTCATTATTAACATCTCCTACCAAAGCGGTGCATTTGTTACAACTGATGAATCTACTCTGACACATGATAATCACCCAGAGTCCTTGCTGTATAGTTACATTGTGGTTCACTCTTGGTGTTGTACATTCTGTAGGTCTGAACAAACGTGATGACAGGTAGCCATCATTATGGTATCATACAGTGTATTTTCACTGCTCTAAAATTCATGTGTTTCGCCTGTTTGTCTCTCCCCCACCCCCAGTAACCACTGATCTTTTAACTGTCTCCAAATTGTCGCCTTTTCCAGAGTATCATATAGCTGGGATTATACAGTAGCTATTTCAGATTGGCTTCTTTCAGTTAGCAATAGGCACCTAACGTCTTGTCATGGCATCCTCCATATCTTGTCATGGCTTGATGGTTCATTTGCTTTATTTCTAAACTATATTCCATTGTATGGATGTACTGTATCCATTGTATGGATATTTTTATGTATTGGTATCAGATAGATATTTGCAGTTACCTAATGTCTAAAGATGTTGAATATGTTTTCATGTGGTCATTCATTCACCTATTGAAGGGCATCTTGGTTGCTTCCACGTTTTGGGAACTGTGAATAAAGTTGTTATGAGCATTCACGTGCAGATTTTGTGTGGATGTTAAGTTTTCAGTTCCTTTGGTTAAGTACCAAGGAACGTGATTGCTGGAGTGTATGGTACTAATATGTTTAATTTTGTAAGAAATTGCCTAACTATCTTCCAAAATGGGTGTAACATTTTGCATTCCCACCAGCAGTGAATGAGAGTTCTTGTTGATACATATCCTCAACAGCATTTGGTGTTGTCAGTGTTAAGATTTTGGCCATTCTGATAGGTGGGTAGTGATATCTCTTTTTAATTTGCATTTTCCTGATGACATACAGTGTGGAACATCTTTTTATATGCTATTTTTCCTCTGTATATCTTATTTGGTAAGGTGTCTGGTAAGGTCTTTGTCTCATTTTAATCATTTTGTGTTCTTATTGTTGAATTTTAAGAGTTCTTTGTATATTTTGGTAATAGTCCTTTATTTGATATATATTTTTGCACATATTTTCTCCCAGTCTTTTCATTCTCTTTACTATGTCTTTCACAAAGCAGAAAACTTTAATTTTAACGAAGCCCAACTTATCAATTATTCCTTTCATAGATCATTTCTTTGGCATTGAATCACAAAAGTCATTGCCAAAGCCAAGGTCATCCAGATATTTTAAGTTATTTTTGTGAAGGGTGTAAAGTCTATGTCTAGGTTAATTTTTTTGCATATGGATGTCCAGTTGTTCCAGCACCATTTGTTGAAGAGACTGTCTGCTCCATTGTATTGCCTTTGCTTCTTTGTCAAACATCAGTTGTCTGTATTCATGTGGATCTATTCCTAGGCTCTCTTCTGTTCCATTGCTTCTGTTCTTTTGCCGGTGCTACACTATCTTGATTACTGTAGCTTTAAAACATGTCTTGAAGTTGGGTATTGTCGGTCCTCCAACTTTATTCTTTCAATTTTATGCTGGCTATTACGGGTCATCTTTTTATTTTTAGTCATTCTAATAGGTGTGTATTGGTATCAAATTGATATTTGCATTTACCTAATGTCTAAAGATGTTGAATATGTTTTCATGTGGTTATTTGCCTTTTGTATATCTTTGGAGAAATGTCAATTTAAATCTTTTGTCCATTAAATAAAATTGGATTGTTTTCTAATTGAATCTTAAGTGTTCTTTATGTTTTCCAGATACATCTATCTGTCAGATATGTCCTTTGCAAACATTTCCTCTATGGCTTGTCTTTTCATCCCTTAAGTGTTTTTGGAAGAGAAGTTTTTAATTTTGATGAAGTCCATTTTACCAGTTTGTTCTGTTACTATTGTGCTGTTTGTGGCGTATCTAAGAAATCTTTAACTCAAGGCCACAAAGATTTTCTTCTGTGTTTTCTTTCAGAAGTTTTACAGTTTTAATTTTATATTTAGGTCTATGATCCATTTGGAATCAATTTTTTGTATAATGTGAGGTATATATTCAAATTCCTATTTTTTTATTGCATATAGATATCCAGTTGTTCTAGCACAATTTGTTGAAAAAACTATCCTTTCTGTACTGTATTTCCTTTGCACCTTTGTCATAAATTAAATGCCCTTGTATGTGGAGGTTTATTTTTGAATATGTATTCTGTTTCATTGATCTTTTTGTCTGGCTGCCAATACCCCACTGTTTTGATTACTGTAGCTTTAAAATAAGTGTTGAAATCAGGTGGTAGTGTTAGCCTACCAAATTTCTTCTTTTTCAGAGTTGTTTTGACTGTCCTAGGTACTTTGTATTTCTCTGTGAGTTTTTAAATGAGCTTTTAAATTTCTTCCAAAAAAAAAAAAGCCTCCTGTGGTTTTGATTGCAATTCCATTGAATCTGTAGATCAGTTTTGGAAGAATTGACATATTAACAACATTGAGTCTACCAAATAATGAACAAGGTGTATCTCCATTTATTTTGGTCTCCTTTACTTTCTCTGAGCACTGTTTTTTAGTTTTCAGTATATAGGTGTTTCATATCTTTTGTAAGATTTTTCTCTAAGTAGTTCATAATTTTTGAGGTTATCCTAAATGGTATCGCTCTTTAAAATCAACTTCTATTTCTTGCCAGCATGTAGAAAAACAATTGATTTTTGCATTTTGATCTCCTATTATGCTACGTTGCTAAACTCATTTAATAGTTCTAGTAACTTTTTTGAAGATGTCAGATTTTTGTATGTTCATGTTGTCTGTGAATAAAGATGATTTTATTTCTACCTTGCCATTCTGGATGCTTTTCCTTTTTTTTCCTTTTCCTCCTCCTCTTCCCTTTCTCTCTCTTCCCCCGCCCTTCCTCCCCTTCCTCCACCTCCTTTCACCTGATTACATTGGCTAAAACCTCTAGAACCTCTAGTACCGTGTTGAATAGAAGTGAGAGCAGAAATCCCTGGGTTGTTACTCATCTTGCTACTCATCTTTGATTCAGTCTTTCATCATTAAGTATGATGTTAACTATAGGTATCTTATAAATGCTCTTTATCAGGCGAAGGAAGTTCCCTTCTATTCCAGTTTGCTAAGAATTCTTATTATGAATGGATGTTGAATTCATATATCACATTCAAGTCATCATTCAAATGCACTTTTTTTGCATCTATTAGAGATAAAAGTTTCTTCTCATTCTTTTAATATTTTTAAGTACCCTAATTGATTTTTGAATGCTAAATTGACCTCGCTTTTCTGGAATAAACCATTTTTTGTTAGGATGTACTATCCTGTTTTACATATTATCTAATATTTTTGTTAGGGGATTTTTGCCTCTTTTTTATTCTGACAGAGAACTTTTATCCAGAATATATTTAAAACAATTACACGTTAATAATAAGAAAACAAACAGTTTAATAAAAATGGACAAAAGATTTGAACAGACACTTCACAAAAGAAGATATTCGTAGGGTCAATATGCACCTGAAAAGGTGCTCAACATCATTAGTCAAAAGGGAAAGGCATAAATTAAAACCACAATCAGATACCACCCTCACACCCACTAGAATGGCTATAATGAAGAAGACTGGCCACACCACCCATTGGTGAGCATGCAGAGCAACTAGAATGTTCATCCATTGCTTGTAGGAATAGAAGATGGTACAACCACTTTGGAGAACATTTTGCCTCTACTTTTTTTTTTTTTTTTTTTTTCCCCGGTACGCGGGCGTCTCACTGCTGTGGCCTCTCCCGTTGCGGAGCACAGGCTCTGGACGCGCAGGCTCAGCGGCCATGGCTCATGGGCCCAGCCGCTCCGCGGCATGTGGGATCCTCCTGGACCGGGGCACAAACCCGTGTCCCCTGCTTCGGCAGGCGGTCTCTCAACCACTGCACCACCAGGGAAGCCCATGCCTCTATCTTAATTAAGGATATTGTTTTGTAATTTTTTTCTGAGGGTATCTTTGTCAGGTTGTGGTGACCAGGTTATGGCAGACTCAAAATTCGTTGAAAAGTGTTCTCTCTTCCTTTATTTTCTTAAAGAGTTTGTCTTTAATTTGTGTGATTATATCCTTAAATGTTTGAGAGAATTTACCAATGAATTACCAGGGTTTGGAGTTTTTTTGTGGGATTATTTTGTTTGAATGTAAATTTAATTTCTTTAATAGATATAGGGTTATTCAAATCGTCTACTTCTTGTGTCTTGTTTGGTGAGTTGTGTTTTTCAAGTCATTGTTTCCTTTTTTAAAAAAAAACATTAAAACATTTATTTAAAATTATTTTTTAAAAAATGAACTAAGCTCATTTCTTCCTCAAAGGAAGCAGTAAAGAGAATGCCATACAGCAAAAAAAATTCTAAGTGTGTGATGCAATTGAGCATTTGGGTTAATAGACTATTCTGGTTACTTGTGATTTATTCTACATTTCTGTGTTTTAGTGACTTAGAGCCTTGTTATTTGTATTGGTTTTAAAGGTTAGGATCTTATGGCAAAGAAGCATATTGTAAACTTCAAGTATAAATATAGAAGGCAGAGGAAATTGAGTCTTTTGTGGTATTTTTGTTTTTTTAAAAACAGATTTATTTTTCTTTTAACATATAAAGTGGTTAAAAACAGAAGAGTCACTGTTTGCTTAGAGGTTTTGTATAATCTCAGATTGTTTTATAGCAATCAGCCACTTTAAAGAAAGATGATCTCTGAAAAGCCATATTTTTTATTTTTAAAATATTTTCTCCTTTTAAGGCAAACAGTTTGGAATCCAAAGATTATCTCCAGGTTTGTCTTCGAGTAAGACCATTGACACAGTCAGAAAAAGAACATGAGTCTGAGGTTTGTGTTGAATTTAATATGTTTTACTTCCATTAAATGGGCAAAATACCATTGTTTTAATTTACTTATTGTTAGTTTTTATTTATTTATTTGTGTTCTAGGGCTGTGTGTATATTCTGGATTCACAGACCATTGTGCTGAAGGATCCTCAAAGTATCCTTGGTCGATTAAGTGAGAAAAGCTCTGGGCAGATGGCACAGACATTCAGTTTTTCCAAGGTAGGTACCCATGTGAAATGGAAGATTTTTCTTTTCAGGAAAAGAAACTTGGCTTAGGCTAAATTGCTACCTAATTATATATAATGAACTATATACATCTTGTGCTTATGAAACTTAGATCTTAGGTACTGGTATTTTTTTCTCAATGGTAGGACTCAAATTTCAGGTGTGTAAATATATAATTGGAAGTGAGAAAATCTTTGTAGAGTTCTTGCAATCTTTTTTTGGTGGAGGGAAGTATCCTTTTCAAAATCTAGATGAAAAGTTATTGGTTGGGGGCTTCCCTGGTGGCGCAGTGGTTGAGAATCTGCCTGCCAATGCAGGGGACACGGGTTCGAGCCCTGGTCTGGGAGGATCCCACTTTGCCGCGGAGCAGCTGGGCCCGTGAGCCACAACTACTGAGCCTGCGTGTCTGGAGCCTGTGCTCCGCGACAAGAGAGGAAGTGACAGTGAAAGGCCCGTGCACCGCGATGAAGAGTGGCCCCCGCTTGCCACAACTGGAGAAAGCCCTCGCATAGAAACAAAGATCCAACACAGCCAAAAAAAAAAAAAAAAAAAGAGTTATTGGTTGGGTCAGATTTCTATCTTGAAAGCTTTTTGAAAGTAGTTAAACTAGCAGGTGTATTTGTGGGAATTGGGAATATGGCAACTTTTAAGAATGAATCTTGTAGGACAAATCTTTTAAATATTAAAAACATGAAAGGGTAGAACTCATTGTGGATATTAACTTGAACATTCTAAAAAGATTTTTTTAAAAAAATGCTTGTTTAGGTTTTTGGCCCAGAAACTACACAGAAGGAATTCTTCCAGGGTTGCATTCTACAGCCAGTTAAAGACCTCTTGAAAGGACAAAGTCGGCTGATTTTTACTTATGGGCTAACCAATTCAGGAAAAACTTACACATTTCAAGGTAAATAGTTTTATTTTTGCTAGAAAGGAAGAAAGAGGCACTAATAATGTACTCATTTTCATAATACTTCTTATAGTTATGTTTCCATTGCCTAGCACATTTGCTCCATTTTTAATAGTAATAGCATATTGAATGTGTATTGCCAATGGCTTTTAATTCAGATCGACTACTTTACCCATATGTAGAGAATTACATGATGATAAAAACTCAGAAGGGGGCTTCCCTGGTGGTGCAGTGGTTAAGAATCCGCCTGCCAACGCAGGGGACACGGGTTCGAGCCCTGGTCTGGGAAGATCCCACATGCCACGAAGCAGCTAAGCCTGTGCGCCACAACTACTGAGGCTGCGCTCTAGAGCCCGTGAGCCACAACTACTGAGCCTGTGTGCCACAACTACGGAAGCCCACGCACCTAGAGCCCATGCTCTGCAGCAAGAGAAGCCACTGCAATGAGAAGCCCATGCACCACAACGAAGAGTAGCCCCCGCTTGTTGCAACTAGAGAAAGCCCGTGTGTAGCAACGAAGACCTGACGCAACCAAAAATAAATAATTAATTAAAAAAAAACCCTCAGAAAAAGGATTGATGTGACATAGGGAATTAAGCATGGATAACCAGGGAAACACTTTATATTTTATTTTACTTTTATACTTTGTGATAATGAATGATAGCCAATCTTAAAGCCTGATCTGAATGTAAAATTTCAGGTTTTGCATCAGAATAATAGTTGATAAAATGTCAATTATACAGTTAAGACCAAAATGATGGAAAACCAAGTAATCCTTCAACTTCTCTCACTCTTGTCTCAGCTTTTTACTCTTGCCTGTTAGTGGTATAAAAGGAGACTTGGTAGTTCAAGAATGTTTTTTTCTAAGAAAGTATAAAACAAAAATTCTTTTCATAGGCACAGAAGAAAATATTGGCATTCTACCTCGAACTTTGAATGTATTATTTGATAGTCTTCAGGAAAGACTGTGTACAAAGATGACCCTTAAACCACATAGGTCCAGAGAATACTTACGTTTATCACCAGACCAAGAGAAAGAAGAAGTAGCTAGCAAAAGTGCATTGCTTCGACAAATTAAAGAGGTATGGGAGTATTTTAGTATGTAAAATATACATAATCCTGACCTTTTAGTAGCTCTTTAGTTTGTTTCAGCCTATATTGGACTGTTTTGTGGTGCTTGTGGCTATTGTCTTTTCTTTTTGAGAAAAGTATTAAAAGCTTTTTTGAAGTCATCTCTTCCTATTTCATACTGTGCAAACAGCAGAAATGTTTAAACAATACAAATGTAAATGGTTCTTAAATCTTTTTTGGTTGCTGTAGAAACAGCAACTTTCTATATAATGATTTTTAAAAATTCTTTTTTTTAATTGTAAAAGTAATATGTATACACAAAAGCTAAACAAGAGAATGTGAAAAATAAAAGTGAAAATTTCCTATAATTCCATTCCTGAAGAGAAAACCAATATTAGCAGATATGAACATATCCTTTTTGATCTTTTTCTCTCTGTACACACAAAAAAATCTATGTACAGAGCTTTCTGTATGTGTCTATATATACACACAGAAACATAGTCATATATAGTTGCATATATCTTCATATCTTTTTCTCTATATGTAGGATATGGTCTTTTTTTTTTTTTTTTTT